ATTTTCTATTTTCAAATTTATATTACAATGCTTATATAATATTTATATTATAACGCTTTTACGAAAGGCTTTGATATCATAAATCTTACGATAGCATAATCTTATTTTTTTCAACATCCACAAATAAATATGGAAGAAATGAACATGATTATTAATATGTTCTTTATGTTTTTCCAAAAAATAAAAGCTAATTAATAACATTTCAACGAGACGAAATGAGTGAACGAATACTGAGAGGACAGAATCAACTAACAATTGAGCATCTTAAGCAGATATTTCATATCAACAGCCATCATATTAGATAATATTAGATATTATTGAAACATATTAAGTTGAAATTAAATTACTACGAACACAATGATACATAATCGAATGCTTTCAGCAATTATTAATTCAGCAAATACAAATTCATTTTCTTATTCCTATATTTTCGTTTAGTTTCCATACATTTTTATTTTATAAAAGATATTTAAAATATTATTTTCATTAATCTAAATATTTCTTTATTACTTTAGATTATATTTTTATAATTTTTGTTATAATAAGATTTTCTAAAACTTCAACATTTTGATTTGAAGAAGAATTTTATTTTTAAACAAAATAAAATGAAAATATCTAAGAACATTATGTTCAGTATATTGACTCATAAAAGAATCAATTACATAATGATTTAAGATTCATGATGATATATAAAATACAATATATTGAAGGATATCTTTTTTTAAAAACCTTATTTTCATTTTAAATGCTTTGTTGAATAATGCTGACACTACACACATTATAATAATAGAAAAGCTATAATAGATTTCAATTAATATATATGATAAATAGAAATAATACTAAAAATAAAAATGCATGTGAAAATAGACGTTTCCTCTCATATTAACCGAATTCCTTCCGCCAGACATCTTTCCAGTATTATGAAATTGTTTCTTTATAAAAGATTTTATAAAAGATTCAGCTCTCGTATAAATATGCATACCGTATTTGTAATATATTTCACTAAGAAAATATATTAACAATCACAAACATGAGCTTATATATATATAAATATATAGTCAAAAGAGCATTCGACACATGTATACATGCACTTAACAAGTTTTCATTCCCCACTACAATATATTGGATGCGAATAATTTAAAAAAAAAAATTAAAATATATAAATATATATTATATAAATATTTTAACATTTAATAAAAACGAATAATATAATTCAATATAAACTAATAATATAACAAAATATAATAATAAAATTATTATATAAAAA